ACTGTCAGTCAGCAGTTTTCTCTATCTGGTGGCTATTGTGTCCAGAGGTAACTGGGGAATACCTTCCTTCCAGGCTGCTTCTGTCTGAAATTCAGACAGAATCCAACAGTATTAGTCAGTGCCTACTGTGCATAGGACTTATGACTGTGGAGAATCAATGCAGTGTGCAATTTCCTTGCTGATCTTCTCATCTTGTTCTCTAAGTTAGATAAATGTATCACAAGGCCCAGGACATAGTAATCTAGCCACAAAACTCAAGCAGCATAGAAACAGTTTATTCAGTACTATATTTCCTATTTAGATAGAGTAAAGTAAACTCATCCCACTCATTTCACAGATGCGTAGCTTTTCTAAAGCCTTTCTCAATATTAGAGCTGAAAATATCTTTATATTAGTAAAAACAAGGCTTGAGGCAGCAGCAAGGCTCAGATCATTAAACAACCATTAACTAATGTTATTAGTTAACTATAACTAATGTTATTGGTATCCTTACCTCACAAGCTCAAAGAGGACACTGTAACTTGGTAGAATTATTTAGAATGATCCAGCCTCAAACATCCAGAGTTTAGAGGTAGTTTTTTTTTGCTATTTCTTTTGAGATGTGATGCTTACCACAATGCCACTAGCCTAGTGTCTTGCCTCTTTTTTATATCTTACAGTGATTAAAATAATGCATTTCCAGGGAAAGAAAAGTTATATCATTCCCAGAGAAAGAGAATCAAAGCAGAGAGAAAGAGAGAGAAATTTCTAGCCAGAGACCACAAAACAACAGCAAAGAATTAAACACAAAAATTCTCGTTTACTTTGACATCATCTCATTACTTCTTTAGGCTTCACTACAGTGTTTCCAAAAATGTGTAAAATGCTGAAATCAGAAAACAAGCAGGGATGCTCCTTTAACATAAAAATGGGGTCTAGAGTAAAGATTTTCTGTAAGAATACAAAAATATTTATTATTTCAGTCATCATTTTAAACCTTATTGTTCAAAACTGTGACTAAGGCTTCAGAAAACAGTAAATTATTTATTTGAATTTACCACTGATTACTGTGCTGTCCACATCCACTGAGTTTTCAAGTATTTCTTTAGGACTAGAGACATCACATTTCTTCTATAGTCACAAAGGAGACCAAATAACAGAAACTAGGTCTCAGACAGCTGGGGTTTTAAGGAAAAAGAGAACACTAAACAAAAGTATCAAATGCTTTATGAATGATCAGTGAGAATCAGCAATACTATAGTTAGCTTGTGTTGTCAGAGATACTGGAAAGTGAAAAATGACTGAGAGAAAGGAACTTTGTATGAAGCCAGTAGGAAAAATGATGAGCGCAACTGTAGAAGCCCAGAATCAAATCTCCACTCTGTCCATTCAAAATTAGGCTGAGATAGCTCCCCAAGCTATCCCTTGATATCTTGAGGAATAGGGTTGATCCTCCAGATATGGGTCAAGCAAGAGCAACTGCATGCTGGCCAACTGCTGTCACACCTTTGGAGCCAGTGTTGTTTGATCTAGATAAAGTAGCCACAGGATTTAAGGAGGGGCACATCCTCCTGAGATGGGTGGGATCCTTTGGTATGTTTATCCTCATTAGTAAGGAGGAGACAGAAATTCAATGAAAATCTACTTGTTTGTTCCCCTTGCCTCAAAAGGGAGCTTTGAGAACCTGCTGAATGCTCTGATGTGAAATCATTACACAAGCTAGCAATGAGGCTGGGCTGATAATTAGTTTCTTAACACTTGCTATTGCAGGACTTTGTTGGTGTCATTTTCTAAGCTTTTCACTGCTCTGGCTGACCCTTCCTGCCCTGGGCAGCTGTCTTCAGGCCAAAATGATGCTCGAGCTGAAAAGCTGGCCCAGCCTGGCCAACCTCACCAGGTGTTCAAAGGAAATTTGAACCAAAATGTTCTCACTGTTAAAGAAAAATATCCAAACACTTATCTAGAATGGTTCTTGCCCTCCACATACAGTTTTGCTACTTACTAGCCAGTGATGGTGTGTGACCCAAAATACAAACACCACAGTGTCCCCTGAGTCTCCCAAACTATAGGAATGTGATGAGGGATTCAGAGTTGAGGTCTGTTCCCACCACATGAGGGACAGTCCACGTACAGCTTTACTTGCGCACCTCAGGAGAGCTTTCTGCTCAGCATTTGAAGGTATTTTGTAAGAAGCAGCCTGCTGACAATTTCCATTTTATCTCTGAGCTTCTTGATGTCTAAGACAATCTCTTTGTCAGCTTAATATTTTTCTTTATCCTTGGGGAGTCTCTGTGCATTCCTAGCATCTATTTCAAGAGAATTTGCTTTCATTTCCAGAGCTGGCTGGGCATATCACTTCTTTTGCAAAGAAAAGTCTCCAGCAGGTCTACACATTTAATACCAAAAAAATTCCAGGCTTCAGTTAAAATGAAGTCTTACTCCTAGTGACTTCACCATTTAGTTCCCTCATCATGTATGGTTCTCCCTATTTAAAGTAAGAATAAGTCACAGACCTGCATTCCAACTCACATAAATTAAATCAACCTCATGTGATCACCTTGGGTATTTCCTACAACCACCTTATCTATACTGTTGGTGTTAGTCACAGAGACAAACTTCTGAGTAGCAGCACTCTCAGTTGGTTCACTGACTGCTCAGTTAAATATACCTTTACATTTTCATACCAGTGACATGATCTATTTTTGCTAATGGTTTTTAGTCTCAGTGACTGAGAAGTTAAAATTTCCTGTGACACAAATCTCAGGAGTATTTCTCTCTTTAATAACATTAAAGAATTATTTGTTCATTTCCAAATTCAACTTTCCAGTCTATCCCAGGAGGACTTCTTTTAGCATCCTTTCCTAAAACAATTTTGGTCATGACTAATCTACTTTATTCATATTATCACTGTTTGGTTTTTTTTTTTATATAATTTCTTAGTACGAACCCACTCCTCCACTGCCTTTAAATCACTATTACTATAATTTCTGCACAGCACATTTCCAACATGATTGTTCCTTGTCATATAATAATCACTGCTGCTCCATCTGGATGAAGTCAATGTCATATTCAGTTTCATGCTTGGCACATCACCCGTGATCCTATTCCCTGGTGTGAATACACACGCATGTCTGCGCGTTCCCCTCCCTGTAAGACAAAATAATTTGACTATTGCCAACTTGACTACAACTGTCAACAGCATTTCTCATTTCTTCCCCTTCTCATTGGCTCAGAGCAAATTCAGTCACATTCCACTAGGTCTGAGTTCTGCATTGTTTGCACTGTCTATCTGATAATGCCTCTAAATAAAACGTTTGCTGAGTGTGAGCTCCCAGAGATGGGACTAGTGTCTTGTCATTGTAGCTAGTAGATGCAGTCTAGCGATTGCTTTTTGCTTCTTTTTTTTTTTTTTTTTTTTTTTTGGAAGATATGCTAATTCACAATTTGCACTTACGCACAATGGTTTTTTAGCTGCAAGCTGTTACTGCAAGCGATAGTAGTAGAAATTCTATGCCAGTTTACTTTCTTTAAATATCAAGTAAGTCAAATGAGACTCATGCATTTGCAAATAATTGTACAGATTGTACTACATCATACTCCTTGTTATCTGAAGAAAATACACAGTTTAGCTGGCACCAGTGCCTACACGTGGTCATGGCTCCTTTGTTTTCTGGATGAGAAATCCAAGGTAGCAGGTTACCAAAAGATTCAGTCTGTAATGTTTCTTCTAAGACATAAAGAAGCCTTTGAGGAACATACTCATTACGGCCCTGTTATTTTCCACGTGTATCCTTCGTGTAATAAGAGAGAGAGAAAGAGGAACTCCAGTCGCATTTTGCTTATTTGGCAAGCCATATTTGAAATATGTGATTTTTCTGAGAATGTGCTAGAGGGATGATGACAGCTGTAGCTAAGAACTAAGAATGTTATGCATTTAGAAAATCATTTTTTCCATGCTGTAGCATAATCTTTACGTTTTCTTCTTCCCTCATCTGTGCCCTACCCCAACCTGTTTCCTATATCAAAATTAAAACAATGATATCAATAGCTCCAACAAACTGCTGAAGCTGGTCATAGATGGCCAGTAATGACTACCAGCTGTTATTATTTTTTTCTGCCTTACATCAGAACAGGAGAGGGGATTAAAATACAGAAAGGAAAAAAAATCCATTAGTTTGAGATGCACTCTACAATCACTATGAGATAGGATTTCCATGTGTGTACCAGCAATTCGCATTCTTTTACCTAAAGAAGGAAATGATATGTAAGCAGTATTGTAATAGAAGAAAAAGACTGGAATTTTGAGTTCACATGCACACACAAAAGACATTTCAAGTTACTATTTCTGCATAAACATTGCATTTTCTCCCTCACTTGTCTGTCTAATAAGGTCTTTCATAATATTTATATGTAATGAAATGTTCTGTTGATGGGAAATCATTAAGAAAGTAAGAACTTTCCATGAGCCAAGGAGTTGTTCTTCATGCCTTTGTGTTGTGACTGATAGGAAAAACTGGAATAGCATCAGTATGTGCCAACCCATGCTTATTTAGAAGTAAAAGGAAGTGCAATTAAAAGGCACAGAGGGATCCTCATACCTGAGAACTCCTCCAACAACAAGCAGACAAAGACCATTCAAAGCACGCACTTAAGTATACTTTGGTGCTGCATTAGGGTTCCACAAAGGTTTCACAAGCCCAGTATATGAATATGGAAATTATCAATCAATCAGTACTTTTCTTCTACTTGGGGCAGGGAGATGAGAAGAAATAAATGACTTGGTTAGACTTTTCAAGCAAGGAGATCACCTTTTTTTTTTTTTTTACAAACCAGGCTGCAATCTTGGCTTCTAAGAAAATGGGCCCCAAAATAATTTCAGATAAATATTTGCATATTTACATATTTATTTCAAAATGAATCTTAGAAAATTTCCCATTGCTATTTCTCATTTCCGCGTCAAGTACAAATTCAGATTGGCTTTCTTCTACCATTAGCAATAGAAAGTATAATTGAAAATAAACACTTTAAAAAAAAAGGTTGAAAAATACCAGATTTTCATCTGCCACATGTAACTATCTACCTATAAAAAAACTCTTATTCCTGTATTTCTTTCAGATAGATCATCTTGTCTTTTTTTTTTTTTTTAGGGCTCCTTATGGCACTTCCTGGTTTCCATTTTGAGAATGGAAAGAGAATCTAGATGCTAAGGTGGTCTACAAAGAAGTGATATATTTTCAGCAAGCCTTTTCCTCTGTCACATAAATGTATCAGTTACAGATGTGAGGGGAAACGGCACATACCTCAGAACCTATTCTCTAATCAAAATCAAATGTGTATTTCTCCACCTCAGCCTTTACATGTTTCAAATGTTTTAACAACTGTACTGATATTTACAGAAAGAGAGGAATCAGTGACTTAAACAGGCTGCTCCACTGGCTCCCCTCATGTTAGGAAGGAGAAAGGCTTTTCTTGGTCAGTTTAGAGTATTCTGCTGTCCTGCTGTGCATAAGAGATTTGCTAGATCAAGGACAGGCTCAAGTAACCGAGTATAATTAATAGTTGAGCTTGTATAGACTGCTGGTGCCTACATGGTTAATTAGCTCATAAGTGTAGTTTGTGGTTTATAATTCTGATAGATTTCCTCTGGTGAGACATAAGGGCCCATTACAGGTGTGTATAGCTGTAAAGTTGTGAATCCGAAGTTTTCAGTCTGCAAAATAAGGAAAAAACACAGACCACTAAATTATGTTGAAGAATTTTTTGGAACCTCTATAGAGGCCAAAAGCAAAACAAAAGAAAACCAAGAAAAACAGGATCAGAAGAAATCTGGCAGTCAACATTAATTTTGCAAAGGATCTGTGAAGGTATTTCTCTAAGCTCCAAAGGCAAAGGGGCAGGGCATATAGGTTGAAACCTGAGTTTGTGGAGAGAAAAAGTCTGAACAAGACAACCTGTTGAATCTCTTTTTCTTAATGAGATTGAAAACAAACATTGAAATGTCAGTATTTTCAACAAAATTGGTCATAATGATCAATGTTAACTTCTCTGACAGAAAAAACATGCAGGCCACCATAGGCGTTCCAGTGTAGGCACTTAAACTTGCTGGAAGTTATGACTTTGATCTCAGCAGCTCCCACTCCCACCAGTCAAATTGTGCAGAATAGCGTATAAGAATGTATCAGGAAATTAATCATTCTGACTTCGGAGCACCATTTGTCTAGTTTACAACAAACAAAGCACACAGCTATTAATTTCACTGTAAGCAGAAAACTAAATATGAAATAAGTGTTTCTTTAGGGTGAATTAGGTGAAGCAGGAGCCCTGAGGAGAGAGTAGCGTGCTATCATGCTGTCAAATACATATCAGAACACCCTAGAATTAGAGAGGAAGTAAAACTTGCAGTGGCAAATTTAACACTGCTGTTTCTTAGCTCCTGCGTATCTGAACTACAACTTGAAATATAAATATTTCATTGCTGTTTGTGTTGCTAATAGGGCATAAGGAACTGCATCCTTTTCCCTCATTATAAAATACCTGTCTGTTTCCATCACATCTTTATCACACAGTTTTCTGTCATCAAGGGCAATATGTACTCTTAAGCAAAAGATTGGTGCTAAGATTAGAGTTTGAAGCAGTGTTGTGAACAATTTAATGCTGGAGAGATCTAAAATTCAGCTTGAACATTGCAAATGTGATTTATTGTATCCCTAAGCAGAAAATGCTTTACTCTGTTCTCTATCTAGTGCATAAGCAATTACTCAGATACACTGAGTAATGAAGTTATGACCACCCAAATAATAGACACCCTTCCAGACGCACTGCTCCTCATTCCAGCCAACCAGCACACATGGAGATATGTTGGATTTTTGTCAGAGCAGCCACATGTTGTCATGGAATGACATGTTTTGGTGAAGAAAAAGACACACACACAACAACAACAACAAAACATACACTCCCCTCCCCCCCCTCCCCCCCAAAAAAAAATAAATAAAATAAATTAAATAAAATAAAAAATAGCAAAAAAAAAACAAAGCTCACCACAGTCTGTACTGGTGACTGACGTGCCTTCTTCTGTAGCTGGGAAGCTGGAAGAAGTATACCAGGAAATCAAAATGGTTTCTTGGAACAAGGTACACAGCTGCTATATCCAGAGTTCTTCTCTAGCTGCCCTCAGCAGCTGAAGGACTTTTTTTTTAAATGCTTTCACTGGTTAGGTTCTCATCTTTTATGCTCTGCCCCTGAATGTGAATCGTTTTATTTTCCCCTTTGCTGAAACATTTGGTTTCCCTGGGAAACATGGATGAATTGACTCAGTTAGGTGTACTTTTCTGAAGGGAAATACTGGGCCAAGAACCCACCTGAGTGCATTTTCTCCTCTCCTTGGCTGCCCCAAAGGAGCTCTTCGCTGTGTAACAGTGACACGCTTCTGCCAGAGTGCTGTAAACACCTGTCAGTGCCTCCACTACTGACAGCAGCAGCCCTTCTGTTTTCTTCTCCTGCCTTTTCTGTTCTTTCTGTCTCCACTCATACTCTCTCTTGCCAACACCATCACTTCATCTGTTTAAACCTGATTCACTAATTACATCTGCAATCTAATATTCTCTATGTTGGGGGGAGGAAATCTGAGCAACACTGAGCATAAAGAAGAAACCTAGGAAAGCAGTAAAGGCAGAACATTTATTGCAATGGAGAGGAACAGGGCACTCAGGTGCTCTACAGATTCCCTCTATTTACAGTTCACTCCCTTCTGAGTTGCCTCCTCCCAGTGCTTCATACCCTCCTCTCCCAACAACATCCTTGCTTTCAGTTTTTTCTTTCAACCCTCAACCCACAGCCATCTCAAGAGTGGGAAAGCTTCACATGAGCTCTCGTTATCAACTTATTCAGCATGAGCTGACACAATGCCAATGAAATCTACACAGACTGAGAAACTATCAGTGTACCACAGGGAAACATACATTTGACCTATTCTTACACTTGCTCAAGGGAAAAATTAGAATTGCCAGGATAGAGGGAGGATTGCTTGTGACCTGCCATTAGGACTAATGCTTAAACTAGTCTTTAAACTCCTCAGTCTTATGTGTAGAATTTTATGTTGGTAAATTCAGAATGATCAAAATAATTAAAAAAAAAAAACTCAAAACCCACCCTACTCATAGCAAGTATTCTTCTCTCCCTGAATAACTCTTTGCCTCATATGTAATACAATAATAGTATAATAACAATGACTCTTACAAAACTCCAGGCTTGTTTTAAAATTCTATCCCTCCATTTATTATTTCCAAAGGGTCAGTACACCATATATCAACAATTTCCTCAATTCTTGCCCCCCAACCCACTCTCAGCCATAAGATACATATTTTAGTACCTGCACTTAGCCTGCAATGGAATGTAAAACATTTCAAGCTCATCAAATGACTTACCCCTGCACCTTAAAATCAAACATAATGTCACTCCGGCACCACAGACAACAGCAAGACTTGCAGGCAGTCCAATCTGGAGATACTGGAGCCTGGAGGAATCATCTGGGGGGGAAAAAGAAAACCAGTTACAGAGCTAGATGTCAGTACCCACTGACTACTTGATGATGGTATCTAACTTAATGAGAAAAGAAAAATCATGCTCTACCCCCATAACTTCAATGAGAGACAGATGGGATGTCTAGGTGCCAATCCGCAAAAGGAACTGTTTCGCTCGTCCAGTGTGTACAAACAGACTTTCATTTTCAACCCATACACCTTCATAGCTTCCCTTTGTACAAATGATACTAGAAGTGCATCAGCAGAACTGACCAGACATCCCTCCAGAATTCTGTAATTAGTGACTGGTCTGTGTTAATTTCCATCCTTCATGCCCCTGCTAAGATGTTTTGGTGATACAAGCACTATTTAGATTTTCTTACAAATTTTGATGGCAGAAACATATCAAGTCCAGCATAGCCAGTTTAACCTTTACTACCTTTGTCTCTGGGAAAGTTTGCTCAAGAGTAACACACAGCCACTCTCCACTTTATCCAGCTCATCAGCTCAAGGGGTCCAAAAATTCAGCTCAAGGGGTCTAAAGTTTCACATCAAAAACAAATCACAGTTACTGCAGAGAGAACTTCTCTGTCATCACTAATTAAACAAGGATCACTGAAAGAGAATAAGGAGCTCTTGTAACTTAAAATGGAGATCCAAGTAAGCTCCCACTGGAAACTTCCTCATACCATGCTGTGAAACATTTGGTTTCAGTTGACTAACTCTGAATTACTAATTTCTCTATCAACATGCACAAGAACTTTGGCATTTCACCACTAAACAATCTGCCAAGCCCTGGCATTCAGTGGAAACAGCTGCAAAGAAAACCACAGTCACAAGAGTATGATGTAGAACAATTACAGATCAATGTTCTTTACCTGACAGATCTAGGGAGAGAGACTGGTTCACAGCTGGGTGGGTAACCAGGCGGGTGACATTAGGATGTGTGCTGTTGACCCAGCTTTGTAGCTGACCTTGGTCACTGTTCCATTGAGGTGGTGGACATCTTTCTCAACACTGTGATTACTTGCAGGGATCCAGGAGATTTTGGCAGCTGGTTTTCCAGCAATAGCTTGACAAACAGCCTCTCCGTTCTTGTCAGAGGTCAAAGACAATGTAGGAGGGACTGCAGAAGAAGTAAATAGACTACAGTCGTTATTCCAGAGGGTCTCTAACTGAGAAACAAAAACAGTACTATTTTTTATTTTTTGGGTGGCCAACTTAAGATATTTTAAAATAATTCAGAATATTAACAGCAACCATCTTTAAGGGAAAAACACATTAAAGTCCAAGGTAAATATCTCTAAAAATTGGTAGCTGCACTTAGAGTTGTGGTTTCCTCATGTTTTCCAAAGGATGACCATAACTGTAACAGAAAATGGGATGTTGGATAGGGATGGATTAAATGGAGATTTAGAAGTATAGCAGTGCATATACTGAACAAAACACTGTAGCTTGCTGAAGCTACAAGCTAAGAAATTCATAGTATGAATAGAAAGGAGGAAATGGAGAAATACTATTCTGCCTGAAGCCTAACAATTTATGTTCTGCATTTGACAAAACAGATTCTGCAAGAAAGAAAAAAAAAAAAAAAACTAGTATCAAGGGACAAATATTAACAGTAGCAAATTACTGATTTGCAGAATAACTTTCCCATAAGCCTTCCAAGTATTACTAAAAATCAACTAAGATGGTCAGAACAAAAAATCCTGTCATAAATAAAATGTTTCTTGCAATTTAAGGAAAGCTAGAGATGATCTACGCATCTCAGAAAGATTGCCTGATGCATTGCTTTTGTTTCCTAATACTTTCTCTTCCTGCCTTGGTTGAAAATAGCCTAAAATCATTTTTATTTTAGTGATGCAGTTCTACAACTTTCAGTGCTTCTGGAAGAGTTAAATATTTCCAGATAATGTCCTGAAACTCATGCTTCCTTCCTACTCGGTCCTTATCCAAACAAAGTACACAATGTGTGCACTGTGAAATTTGGTTCAGCTTTAAGTAGCAATATTTATTTAATATCATCTATTTGCACTAACTTAACCAACAGTGTGCACTCCTGTTCACGTGAACATTCACACAGCATTCAAATTCCATGTTACATCCAAAGTACTATATTAGAATCTATCCAGACTGTTCATCTGGAGCATCTGAAAACAGTCCCTGATCATGAGGCAGAAACAAAAAAAACACCACAAATAACAACTGATTATTTCTCATTAAAACAGCCCTATGTCTTCATATGGCTCCTTGCCCTCTCCAGTCATACTAAATCAAGTCACATCTTTATCTTCAATCAAAAATCAATTTGGTCCTTTAACAACATCTCAAATCTGTTTTATGTCCGCACAACAATGAAAAAGTGCAGGTGCGTCTTACCTATGACAGTCAGAGAAAAGAAAAAAAGAAAATTCCCCTCACTGCTGACAATTTCACAGGTGTAATTTCCCTCGTCATTCAGGTTCACAGGGTAAATACGTAGAGCTAGGTCGTGATTGGGTGAGTATATCCACATCATCCTCTCACTGCAGTTTAACATTCTTGACTCATTGAGATCCCTTCTATAAGCTAAAAAGCAAGAAGTGCTGGATTTCATCTTCCATGTCACCATTAGCAAAGACAGCTCGGAGATTGATGGGCAATTCAACACAGCCTCATGACCAGCCTCCACATTCACGCTTCTATAAGCTACATGGGAAAAAAAGAAACAGAGAAAGAAAAAATTAAATATTAAATACGATCCTTAAGCTTTCATCAATATCCAGCTCTTGGCTTCATCATACTTAAAAATTTCTACTTTCTTACTGTACTGGCAGCCTTGGGAATGCATTGCTCTCACAGAAACTCATAGGTAGTATTCAGTTTCCAGGTCCTGCTTCCTTCTATCACTGTCTTTGAGATCTCAAAATGCAGTGGAAATGGTGCCTTTCCACTGTATGCAATGTGCGTTGGTGAGCTACAGTTCTCCATTTCTTTTGGCAATAGATTCCTACCACTTTAATACAGACATTGAAAAACTGATGGGGAGCCCAAGATTCACCCTTAAAGTAAAGGAAACTACCTTTTCTAAGGAAAAAGAAAAAAAAAAGAATCATAGAACAGCTCGGGTGGAAAGGGACCTCAAGGACCATCAAGTTCCAACCAGTTTGCCACATGTGGGGCTGCCAACTTCCCCATTTAATGCTAAACCAGGCTGCCCAGGGCCCCATCCAACCTGACCTTGAACACCTCCAGGGATGGGGCATCCACAACCTTTCCGGGCAGCCTGTTCCAGCACCTCACCACTCTCTCTTTAAAGAACATCCGCCTGATATCCAACCTAAATCTTCCCTCCTTCAACTTGAAACCAGTTTCCCTTGTCCTGCCATTACTTACCCTTGTAAAGAGTTGACTCCCCTCCTTTGTAGGCTCCCTTTAGGTACTGATAGGCTGCAATGAGGTCACCCCTCAGCCTGTCTTCATGGGGGAGGTGCTCCAGCCCTCTGATAATCTTTGTGGCTGTCATCTGGACCCTCTCCAACAGCTCCATGTCTTTCTTTATTGGAGGCCCCAGACCTGGCTGCAGTACTCCAGATGGGGCCTCACAAGAGCAGAGTAGAGAGGAACAATCACCTCCCTGTCCCTGCTGGCCACCCCTCTTCTGATGGAGCCCAGGATTCCATTTGCTTTCTAAGCTGCAAGAGAACACTTCTGGCTCATTTTAACTTCTTCATCCACCAGGACCACCAGGTCCTTCTCTGAGATAAGGTGCACCAATTACAGTGTAAGAAAATCATGGGATAGCAGGGGAACAGGAGCTGGACTCAATAATCCTTATAGGTCCCTTCCAATTCAGGATACTCTATGAACATATACCAATAAGAAGGATAAGATCCAAGATCATCTGGCATAGTAGTTGATGGAGCATATGTGATATGGGTATATATCTGTTTTTTTTCTGCCAGAAACCATAGCTCTGCTGGTGTTTTCTCATCTGAACAAGAGATGAATCTTCAGATTATTTGTGTTGAATCCTTATCAGAAATAATATTCTATGCCATTCTGCAAAGCACAGGATTATTTTGTCAGCTGATGTGATATCATACTTCATACTGGTGAACAGTAAAATTTCAGTGTACCCGTGAGTCAGCAATACAGAGTATCAAACAGTGATGAGTACAGCTTGAATCTTCCTTACCTGACCCTCCAATCAGTTGGATCATCAAGAAAAGGATTGCAGCCTGAACTGCCCATGTCTGAATCATCTTCAGCAAAAGGAATCAGCACTGCAGTAAAAGAAGGCAAAGGAAATGGTGGGTAGTCACAAGTTGTAATGCAAGTCCCTTCAAAGAAAACGGGAAGAAAAGCCTTTTTTTTCTTTGAAAACAGAAGTTGTAAGAAGGACCCATGTCAAGTGTCATTCTTACTCTAAAAGGAAGAAAGCAAAAAACGCTTTGGAAACAAAAAGGATTTCTGTTTACAAACCAGTTTTAAAAACCCAAGATCTCATTTTCCCATCATCTCCAGTCACCCACTACTCACGAGCAGCTAGCACACAGATCGCTACAGACCTCTTACTGCTGCTTCACAGATTTACCTGCGGAAGATGAAGAAAAGACTTTGCAAGAGCAAAGATGCGTGCATCAAACTCTTTTTGAAAAAATCAAGGTAACAGCATTTATGGGAAAACTCAGGACCTAGACTTGGCTATTTGAAGGAAGTAACCCAGATAAATGATTTAAATCTTTGCCCTGCTTTTAGTTTCTCAAAGGGTAACTCCATTTCTGCAGTAGAAGTGAAAGCTCTACTGTCCTTTTGTGAGAGATCACAAACATGAGCTTGTTTCCTGCTTTTAGAGACAGAGAACTGAGGAAGCATTTTATTAACTAACATGACTCCATAATTATGTATACTTTTCAACAAACCATATCTTACGAATTGCTAGCTTCTTTGTGGCAAAAGGGCTGTTGCTTGAGCACAGGCCTGATGAGAAACATTGCTGGTACTTTCCTACAGTCAGTTAATCATACATAAATAAACCCAAATTTTTCTGGCATACTTGTACTGAAAAATGTGGCTATGTATTCCCACAGTCAAAATATCATCCTTTTCTACTCAGATCTCAACACCTACAGCCCTACTACAGCTCCCGCTGGCTCAGTCACAGCAAAGGATTCCCAGCCACTGCATTGCTGTAACCCCATCACGGAGTGACAAAGCAGAGGTCTCAGTGTGTGCCTGTTTTTATAACGCCGCAGTAGCCATACCCTAGCTGGGGTTACTGTCAAAATCTGCAGCCACAGTTTTGTCTCAAGGCTCCTTCCCACATTCCCATGAAGTTACCCAATTTTCCAGCACTCACCTCTGCATTTTCTCCAGCTCTTCTTGGTCCTTTCATTGTTCTCTCCTTCATACCACCATCTGCATCGCTTTTATCTCCCACACGCAGCTAGAGATAACTGGAAAATGCTGTTGCCATCCTATGGGAAGTACTAATATGCTGTTCTCATTCCTAAATCAAACACCAATACACACCAAGCTAGCAAGTATCTTTCTAACACAGTTGATTTAAAAACGTCATACGTGTTGCAACAGGACCTTCCTTTTGGGTTATTTATGGTCATGCTCTGTTCACACTCGTTTTGCCCATATTAATACAAGGATGTTTCATTGAAGATACCGAGGGGAGGAAGGACACATATATATGTCCTTCTATGTATGTAAAAATATATCAAGTAAGGAAAAAAAAAAACCAATAGAATACTGCCACACTTACGGAACTGAAAAAGAAGCAATAGTGCTACATTTGTGATCTGAGTGCAAGAGGCAACAATACTCAGTGCAACTTATACACGATGCAAGATGTATGCACGTTCTCACAGCAGCTTGATAGGTTTTCTGCACAGTTCTAACAAAACACCAATGTATCTGGATGAAAACTTTTATTGCAGCCTGAAAATGCTGATGCTAGCACATTGATCAGTATTCTACAACCAACATGCAGGTAATGGGTAATGTAAGTCTTATATTCCCAAACTCTCAAATTTCATTTTTGCTCACTTTAAATCTTTGCCCCAAATGACATAATTTTTGTGTTTTCTGTCATTCAGTATCAATGAAAAAGTTGCTTTTTTCTATAATTTAGATAAATTGTGCATGCAAAAGTAGCTTTCAGTGAAAAAGGTTGTTGTTTTTTTTTCTTAAAAACAACAGCAAAAGATTATTTTTGGCCAAAAATACACACTGAATTAGACCCAATATGGAAATTGTTTTTCTGCCTCTTTAAAAAAAAAAAAAAGTTCTCTGCAATGTTTATCAGCAAATTCGATGTTCACCGATGTTGATGGATCCATAAATATTCATATACAGCATATTGTGATACTGGAACTTGTCCCAGAGAGCTATCATTTTTTAAAACGCATACAAGTCATGTATACACGGAGCTTATTTGCTCAAAAGAACAGACATCAATGATTAAAAATGGGGCCTTACGGAAAGAATAGAGAATATCACTTCGCTTAAATATTCATGTATGAAACACTGAATTTAGATTGCAATTTTTAAGGTTCACAGTCCTCAACACTGCTTACGCCTCTGAGCAAGAAGTAAATCTCAAAGTGGAGCCCCAGAAGGAGAAACCCAGCACAGCTGAATTCAGTTCATTTATAAAAGCAGCAAATGAATGTCTGTAGATTGTCTTGTGTCATTTCCTTTGATGGAATTAAAATGCCCCAACAACTGCATTAAAATAAATTAAAGTTTTAGCTCAGCCTCGATGGTGGTGTCTGAAATGAGACCCCGCAATGCATGCATCACTCTCCCATTACCCTCCACACTGCAGCTGGGAATGGTACTGCTCACACTCGATTGCCTCTCATGAATGCTGAGGGGAAGGAAGTCGCTCAGTATCAGCCTGGAGAAGGGACATCCAGCTCCAGGAACACAGAAGGTAAAAGGCAGCCATGGCAGCACACTCTGGTCCTTGGATAATCTTAGTCCTGGGGGGGAGAAACGAGATGTTAGCACAGAGGTTTGGCCCAGTTGGGATCCTGGTCCCAGCTCCCACGCACCAGGGAACAGCACTGGAACATCTGTAACTCCCTTCTGGCTGTCTTCACGAGAACAGAGAATTCAGAAGTGGCTCAGCTCAGGACAATTTGTCCCAGATAGTCACTGTTTTCTTTGCACTGCTCACAGATCTCTTTCTGTTGATGCTCCCAAGATTATAGCATACAGCTGATTTGTCTTGCAGACAGAGCTCCTTGCCCTCCTGTGACAGCTCAGTGAAAAGAAACCATCTGGTGGTACATTCCCCCAGAAGAGGATGTGACACAGTTAGAGCTAAGGGAAATACCACATTCAGACATGAGGAACAAAACGCAGCCTCTGATTGCATTATACTGTGCATCAAATACAGGATGCAAGCCCTGAGCTATGTAAAATGACAGTTAAAGTGGGTTAACAAAAACCAAGTCCAACATAAGGAAAATATATTTAACACAAAGCGAAGAAAGAAAAGGTGCTGCTCACAAAGAATCGATGCAAGCAATGCGTCAGTCGTCACCACAAACCTCTGTAAATATCATATGGCCATTGCCATGATTAACAGGAAAATATGACGCTGCTTTGCAGTGGAATCACATTTTAAAGTGTAGTGAAGATCTTCAGAAGCCTGTTACTTCCTCTGGGCAAGGAAGGGGAGGAAGGGATGGTACAAAGAGGAACCAGTTGCATGTAGCTATGAGGTGCACCACAATGAGTCAAAAGGCAGAAGCCAGTGAACGCTGTCTGACGTGGGAGGTACACAGAGCCCCAGGTCAGCCTCCACACTTAGCTGTCCTGTGTGGCCTCAGTACCTCTGTCAGATGACATATCTCCTGATAACACACTGCAATAAAAGCAGAGCAGTTCAAATAGCAGTCTCAAAGTCTCCCTTTTCTCCTCCAAGTTTTCACAGCAGCCCTCAGACATTGCAGCTGTAGCAGTTACCTGGGGAGAGGAAGCAGCAGTGGTGTCCGTATGTCTGCATTTTCTACGTATCTTAGCCACAGGCTATTTTCATGCAGCCTATTTTCTGCATAGGAAGTTTTGCAGAAAGTCTAAGAGTGGTCTGCAGCCCCCTCAGGGGATGGACTCCGTTCAGCTGGTGTCTCCAGCTGCTCCCAGGCTATGACACATCCTTCAAATTCCTCAGATTAAAATGAAGTCATAAAATACAGGAAACCTTTGAATGCTCTGGAAAGAAGACAAATCCCATAGAATTTTAGAATTGTTTGAGTTGGATGGGACCTCTAAAAGTCATCTAGTGCAGCATCTCTGCAATGATTACATACAGCAACATCAAGTGCCCATCCAGCCTGACCTTGGGACGAGGCATCCACCACCTCTCTGGGCAGCCTGTTACAGTGCCTCATCACTCTTAACGTAAAAAACTTCTTCCTTATGTCCAGTCTAAACCTCCTTTCTTTTAATTTGAAACCATCTTATCTTGTTCTATCACCACAGACCTTGCTAAAGAGTCTGTACTCTTCCTTCTTACAGAACCCCTTCAGATACTGAAAAGTTGCTCTCAGGTCTCCCCAGAACCTTTTCTTCTCCAAGCTGAACAGTCCCAGCTCTCTCAGCCTGTCCTTACAGGGGAGGTGTTCCTTGGATCCTTTTTGTGGCCCTCCTCTGGACATACTCCAACAGGTCTATGTCGCTCCTGTGTTGAAGACTCCACATCTGGATGCATCACTCCAGGTGAGGTCTCACCTGAGCAGGGTAGAAGGGCAGGGACAAGTCCACCTCCACTGACCTGCTGGCCACACTTCTGGTACAGCGCAGTTGGCTTTCTGGGCTGCAAGGGCCATTACTGGCTCACATCCAGCTTCCCATCCACCTGCATCCCCAGGTACTTTTAGGCAGGGCTGTGCTCAACCCTTTCATCCCTCAGCTTCTGCTGATAGTGGGGGGTATGTGAAGAGGAGTGGAAAGAGCTCTTCATTCTCAGAAACTGAGATGTATTTAAAGGTTAGGGGAGGTTGCATCCTTTCTCTGTCCTTAGCTACACTCCATAGCTACCTGCTGCTGGCCACTGCAAGTGGCACCAGGTAGATGAACCTCTGGTTTGACCTCATGGCCTTCTAGTGTTTTTATTCTCTGAAGGATTACCTAACACTGAAAATGCACCCATATGAAGCCCTCTCCTAGCACAGCAAAAGTTTGTTAGTATGGTTAGAGAATGGAGGAACTCCACCTTCTGCTCAAACTCATTTGTCTCATGCTTGCTGGCAAGTGAAAGTCATAGATGGTTACCAGCTACAAAATTCAGCCCACCCAGTTCATGAGCCAGCCTCATTCAGTTCCAAATAAGCAAAACTGTATAAACTTTCTCTATAAACTGGGGAATAGAGGGTAGATGGTTTCCTGAAAGGGAGAGAATTGCTTAATAGAAGGAGCTGTCAAAAGAGTTATGAAGTGTTTCTACTGAAATAAAAAATTACTGTTTTCTGGCAACTTATATCTGAAGGTAAATAGGCTTAAACATTCCTCCTCAGCAGAGTAGATGTTTGCTGTGTCTGTGTGTTCAATTTGTCAAAATATTAATGATTAGAATAATGCTAATACTAACATTACCGCAACATGTTTTTTTCCCTAGCAGGGTGAAAAACAAGCAAAACAGCAGATGAGTGTATTGCCTGTTTGTTTGCTTTCTTATTTGTTTTTAGTAGCTGTAATTCAACAAAACAGGTGTGAATTGCCTCTCCTTTCAGAAATATTTACTTTCTTAACACTGGCCAATCTAGAAAATAGCCTGTGAAGTTATTACCTGAGCTAAATTGTACACCTCACATCCACAGCTGCCTTGCAGCCAACCTGTTCAGAAAGCACGTAACCCCCATAGCAGGAGTAGGACCAAAGGATGAATAGCAGTAAGAATAGCCTCTGGTAAGCCTGTTCTCTTCCTTGCAGGAAAACAGATGTTTGCCTTGAAGAGGAAAATATAGAAACAGCCCGTGAATGTAACATCTTGATTTTCCAAGGTACAAACCACCTGTGGTTCCCACTGATGTCAGCAAACATACAGTGGGACAAACGCTGCTGATAATAAAACCTTTAAAACCCAAAACTTCCAAGATAAATGTCCAGAGGCAATTACATTGCCATTTCCAGAGACTATGAAAATTAATTTATATTTTAACTACAGCTAATCTACACTCCCTGGACCAACACAGTTAAGCCCAGCAATTTCTGTTCTTGGCCCTATTAAATCCCCCTTACCAATTTTGGGTCATTAACCCAATGTTCAGAGGCTTCTCATTTGATCCTAATGCTTCAGCAACAAAATTTACCTTTAAGAAAGGTGTCCATTACTTTGGCTACTTTAATTTCTGCCTCTTGTGGACTTACTGCACCACTTCACACATTTCCCATGAAGAACCAAGTAACCAACAACCCAAGTACAGTTACCACTTTCAGAACTGGGGGATAATCCAAGAAACAGACTCCTAAAAATTCAGTAGTGAATGGAAAATAGATGATTCATAG